GACCAAGATATAGCAAGACCTACATAACAAGAAAAGTAACTTTTGTATCTGATAAGGTCAGCCAAGTACTCTCAGGATTTATCCTGTAGCCCTGTACCACCTCAGTTTAATGTTTATAAGGAAATTTTTACCAGATTATTTCCTGTAGGCATTCTCAAGGTCTCATCCTTAGATGCTTATAAATTCTCTGCTCTCCAGTGGTTGTAATGCTACCTCTATTAGGTACCACAGAGTATTCTAGATTCATGGTGTTGTTAAGGGGTCCTTATTTTTTTCCCCTATTGGTTCATCTGCAATCATATCAATTATACTAATTATTGAAGCATCATTAAGCATAATTATTACAGCGTTATAATGCTATCCTCTTATAAGTTTGAAATTTCTTTGACTACTGTCATACATTAGTGTTTTTCAAATCTTATTTGTTCAATACACAGAAAAGTGAACAATACTAAAGTACATAGAGCTGACATATTTAACTACCACTCACACCGGGAAACTGAAACTGAACATTTCCAGTATTCCACAATCCTTCTTCCTCCTCCTCCACCTCTACCTCCACCTCCTTCTCCTCCTCCTTTTCCCCCTCCCTCTCCCCTCCCTCTCTTCCTCCTCTTCCTTCTTTTCCTCCTTCGCCTCCTCCTTCCTATAAGTGACTGCTATGTTAAATTTATGATAATAGTTTCTTCATTTTTCTTTTTGCTTTACCATTTAAGGATGTATTACAAATACTACAGTTTGGTTTTTTTTTTAATCTAATTTTGAGCTTTTATCTAATCTCCTCTTGCTTTTACATAGCATTATTTTATGAGGTCCATTCATGTTTGTCATTGTGGTTATTAGTGATTCATTTTTTGATAGTTACATATTCATCACTGTTCTTTCCCTGGGTCCCATCATAGTACAAATGCCTCCTAAATATTGGCTCTGTAGACACTTTCTACTTATTGAAATAAATGTGAAAAAAACCACATAAAGGAATTCCACCTTTGATTTTGTTGGTGGAATAATGCAATGATTTATTATTTATTTATTTATTTATTTATTTATTTATTTTTTGCGGATCTGGGGATAGAACTCAGATCCTTGCATTTGCCAGTCAAGCACTTATCCTACTGAGCCATCTCCCCGGCCCAATGCAATGATTTATAAGCACCAGCAAATAACTTCAGTGACTCATTGTACTCTTCTTTCTTGAGAGTAAGCTATTCTGGGATATTAAGGTTACAACCACAGATCACAAGCCTGCATTTTAATTTTCTTGATCCATGGACTTATTATATAAAACACAACATCCAGCTGGCTCTGTGCTTTAAATGCAGCCTCCCACTAGCATCTCTTCAACCACTGAATGTGTGGCTCCGTTAAGGCAGTCCCAGGTTAGGCTGCTGACAGAAGGTCTATTGTTCCCAACACTCTGGCTACTTATAGAATCACTAATATCTAACAAAGGAATTACCATATTTCAGTATTGATGTATATCATTAAAGGAGGAACTAGAAATTGTAGAAATTTGTTATGGTCCTATGGATGCAGATATAATCCTGCCTCTGACACTAAAAGTCACCTGATAACAAAAGCTAACAGTCCTTCCTGTTTTTTAAGAGTAGAAATGTCTCTAAATAAGATTTTGGTTTATTAAGTTGTAGAGTAATAAGAATTATTCTAAGGGCTGAGGGTGTGCCTTTAGGGATTCTGTGGTATAGCACTT